CAAAGAGTTGACGCGCGCACTTGAGGTGAAATTACTTTGATGAAGAATCTTCTCCTTCTTTCTTCCTTCGAGCGATATAGTTTTCATCTTCGGCTGGACTTTGCTCGGCGGCACAGCAGAGCACCGAGAACGAAAAGCATTATTTTGCTCGGAACGACTCGGATGGCGATGTCAAAGGGAAATGCAGCTACTTTAACGAGGTGCGCGAAGCAGAGGAGAGGAAAATTCATCCGACGAGACGAGACGAGCTGCGATGTGCTCATCGTCCGAATGGCCTTCTGCCGTGAGCAGCGCGTGCCTTCTGTCACCGCGGCGTGCTTTATTAGCTTCAAGATCGATCGGCACGCCCCCCCCCCCCCCCCTCATCTCCGGCCGACGAGCGGAGGCGAGGAAAGTCGCGCGAAATCGGAAACGCGCCCCCATCTCTCTCCGTTCGGAGGCTCGCTTCCGAGTCACCTACGACGCGCGCGCTCGCGTGAAACAGTCCGCGACCGAGTTGGAGGTCTCTCGAGGTGCGCGCCGCGTCCTCCGCCGTCGACGATCGCTTCGCGGCATATAGTCGCACGCCGCGCGCAGACAATCGACTCGCGGAGAGAGAAACCAAATCGAGAAGTGCAAGACTCCTGCACGGCCGAGAAGCGCGCGTAGTTTTTTTTTTTATTGCCGTCGCGACACGCGCCTGCGCGATTCGGCTCCACGCGTCGCGCCGTAGGATTACGCGCGTAACGATCGCGCCGAGCTACGCGGGCAACGCGTTTTCTCCTTCCCCTTCTTTTCCGCATTGACTTTCGATTTTCGCCGCGAGAGGAAAGGCAGCGAGAGAGAGAGAGAGAGAGAAAAGACTGCGCGCAACAATGGAGTCGTAATTAAAAGGTGGGTAGCAATAGGCGCGCGACAGGCGGGATTGCCTCGGCGCCAAGCGTCAAAGCGCAGAAAACAATGGCAATTCGCTCGATGTTTTCATTAGCGCGACGTGGCCGCGTCGCCGTCGTCGTCGCGTCCCACTCGGGACCGGGCGCTCGGATCGGAGCAGCTTCCCCGCAAAAAGCAAGGCGCCGGCCTTCCGCAGACGGAGAGAAAGTCGCTGGCGCGCGGAAAAACCGCCGGGCGTTCGCCGATGCTCGCCGCGGCGAGACGACGACGCGCGACCACGACGGCGAAGCCCGCGCGCGCGCGGAAAACGGTCGGCGTGCTCGCATTTGGCCAGCCACTCGTCGGAACGAAGCGTCAAGCTCGATAACGCGCATTTCGTCATTCCGAGGGATCACGAAAATTGGCGCCCTCGCTCTCGGCCAGTTTCCCAGGTAGCGACCTCGCGCTAAGCTTTCGGCCTTCTTGGTGTATTTTCCAGCTGCTGCCTTATCCGGTAGATGTCGCGTGGCATGCTTCGCGAGAAGGTTAATTAAAACGGTTCCAGATGATCCTATTTACCACGCTCTTTGTGCGCCGAATGTCGCGCATTGTTTGATTTATCGCGCGCATTTGTTTATTTTCCTTCCTATAGGATACGTTGCCTTTATCGACAAATAATCCAAGAACGAGCAAACTCTAGAAATCGGAAATTCAAATCGCAATGTCCGCCACAAACGAGCCGGACTCTAACATCGGAATTAGCCCTCTAAGAAAATAACGCACTCGACCGCTCCAAGTCGAATTGTACTTTTCGTTTTCATCCTCTACGCTGGTGCAAGAGAAAAAAATAGCGCTCGCATGGAGCATAGAACTGGCACGAGTTGCAACGCTACTTGACATCGTTACTAGCTTTTAATTACATTTTTCATGCGGCACAATTTCTTTCAAAAGGCAAAAGTCGAATTCCAAAAAAAAGCTAAAACAACGAAGGATTTGATGATGTTTGTACGCGTGAAAGTAGGCCGTAAGATTTTCCTGAAAAAAAAAAAAATATGGAAACAAAAAAGAACGGCGCGTTACAATTCTCAAGAGCACTGATCGATGTCTACGAGAACATACTTTCATTGATAATTAGACACTCTCAACGGCGAACAATGCGACTTCGCTATCTCGCCTGAGAAAATCAATATTCTAATACAGCGGCTATCAGACCTATACATCTATCAAGGCACCGCTCTTTACTTTCGTGCGAACGCACACGATGCATTGCAGAAGGCGTCGCGTTTTCACAGCGCGTTTCATTTTTATTCTTCGTCTTATCGAAGCGTTACATCGGTGCCGCTCGCGAGGATCCGCGCGACAGGCGAGCAAGGGCATTGTTTTTTGGGCCGCACTCTCGTGGTCGAATTCGTTACGTGGAAGCGCAGCAAAGCTCGCGGTCCCAGCTCGGGCAGGTGCGCGACAGTCGGACGATTCGATCGAGTCGCGACCACTTGTGGCGAGTACCGACCGATCTCCTCCTCCGGTCCCGCGTGCGCGCGCCCCGCAACCGGTGCGCCGCTCGCCGCTACTCGGCTCTTCGGCGAACGTCAACTCGGCCTGCCGGACTCGCTTCGCTGCGACATCTCACCGTCGTGCAAATCTCTTCCGCCTGCGAGCCGGGCTAATTGGATTACCACGCCGAACACGGTCACACGGCGCCAGCGAGCAAGGCCATCTCTGGTCTTGCGCTTCGCCGCGACTGCGTTGAACACCAAAATCACTACGACCGCGCGGTGAGACGAAGCCTCGATCGCGCGCTTTGCATTGGGACTTTGACGTTTGCTGATTCTGCGAGCCGCGGGCATCACTTTATCGGCGAAAATCATAAAATCAGACGAATCTTGGTTTTGGAATAAGTGCTAAACATGAGAAACCAACGCGCACAGTTCTTTCCGTCTTATACAAATATTTCAAGCGTCGTTCTCGATAGCTTCACAGAACTTTGCCGGTTTGCTCGCGAGCGCAACGGAAACGAGAAATTTCACCGCGGCACTCGTCCTGCCAACGCCGATACTATTTAAGCGACGCCTTGTATACAAGATCGACCGGGTAATTGAGAGGCATTCGCTCCGGCGAGCGAGAGAAAGGTAATTCATTAGTCGAAACGCCCTGCAAAATCATTAGGATCTCAAGCGCCCACTCCTAACCTCCCGCATAAGTATCCGGGAGGCAAGGAAAGAGCACAGTTGGCTTAATAAAGTGCCGCGCGTTTTGCGCGAAACGCGGGAGGCTGTAAATTTTATTTGCAGCCTCGTTCGACTTCGAAATTGCGCTCGGCCCTATTGGAAATCCACCTCGTCGCCCAGAGCACGACGAACGGAATTCCCGATAGTTCTGCACGATATTACGGAATCATCGAACGCGCGCGCCGCGACATCGTAAAGCGCGTCGCGTTGCGCAACGGCCAACTTTTACATCGCACTTGAGAGCATAGCGGTTGGGCTACGTCACGAGAGATTAGATCTTGCTCGCGCGCCCTTCGAGTGCAACCTCGGCGACTGTCCCCGAAAATTCAAAACGCACGTTAGCTTCCTCTACGCGCCGAGCGTCGGCCCTCCACTGAAAGAAGACGCGGAGAAAAAGCCGTTTCTGCGTCGGTGAAAAACGCACGTTCGGCCTACTTCCGAGCCCCCGAAAAACCATCGTCATCGCCGTTGGTTTGTAGCCTTTAACTCCGTACTGCAAGGCCACTCGACGCGCTGGAGCTTGACGCCGCTGGTATTGTGTCTGCTCGTCGCCGTCGCCTCGCACGGGCCGCGTGACGTCAACGCACGCTAATGGGATTTCGTCGCGGACGATTTCTCGCCTTCGGTGCTATTGCCTCACGGCGGCGTCAAGTATAAGCAACTTACCCTTTTTCTCCGCGTGGCTATCGTCGCGAAAGTTTTTGTTTACGCGCGGGGTCATCGATTCGCGATGATTCCGATGAGCGCGTTAGGCTTCTTCTTTTTAAGTTATTTGTTTTGACGCGCGATGAAGGAGAATTTATTCGTCAATGGCCAAGTTCCGTCTGTTCGGCTAGGTATAAATAAGTGCTTTGTATCGGTTATTGCTTGTTTATATCTCAGAGACCATCGGCTACGGAACATCGTCCTTTCCGGTCGATTTCTCGTCTCATTTTGTCCCCCTCGCCACCATCACCAGACAGCGGCGTTTTGGCAGTTTCGCGCGAAGACATAGTGTCGTTTCCCTGCAGGAAGCACGCCAAAGTTGTCGACTCTCAGCGATAAATAAGTTGGCACGCTCCTCTGCGCCGAACAAAAGTTCAAATCCAATTGTTCGAAAGCGGCTGCATAACCTCGCTTGCACGGCATTTCCACCTATGAACGATCACCCGACGAGTCCGTATTCCGCTCTTCCCACGTATGATAATCCCCAAAAGCTGATTTCGCTTTCATCGGATCGGTCTCATAGAGGTCGCGCGCGGAAACTTACCAAGGTATTCTTTTCTCCAGACGCGCCTATTTTCCTCGCGATGATTTCGAAGCGAGGGAGAGAGAGAGAGAGAGAGAGCCGAAGCCACAAGAGGACAAGAAGAAAGAAAGAAAGAACGAACGAAAGAAAGACGCGTGCAATCATCCAAATTGAAGGCGCCCAGAGTGAGTTAAAGAGAGATCGAACATTGGGCTTCCTGTCGAAAAGAAAGAAGGGCAGAAAAGGCGCGCGCACGCTCGGCACTTCCTATTCAGCGCGCGGCGCGCGGAAAGCGAATCCTCGAAACCGCGAGACCACTTCCGCTCGAGAGAGCTCGTCCCGCTGGATATAAAGTTTCGCGCGTGTAATGACTATTACCGGCGAGTGTGAGAAGGCCGCGAGCATATTCGTAACGCGGCACACCGACGAAACGCGGAGCGCGGGCGCGCGATGGCTTCGAATCGGCCGAGAACTTTGGCGCCCCGCGCTGCAACGTCTGCCGCGCGGCGCGAATCGCTCGAGCGAGATCGCTGCCCGTTGGCCCTGCGCGACGTACGCCACGGCGGAGCTCCGCGACAACAAAGACACAAGGAAAAGGGACGAGCGCGCGGCACGCGCCACCCGCGCGAGGCGACCGCGCGCTGGCGTGTCGAATGTCGCGGGCGCCGCGCGCGGACCGTCCGTCCCCTCACCTGCTTGCCGCTGGTAGAAGTCGCACTCTGCGCAGGTCTCCTCCCGGTCGTCGAGCTCCTGCTGCGCCTGGGCGGCCACGCACAAGTCCTTGTAGCCCTCGGGCGGGCTGAGCGTCTCGCGCTGCTGCTGGCGCCTGGCCGGCGTGAGCGGCTTGTCCTTGTCCACCTCGACCATGGCCGCGGCGTCGCGGCCGCACATGGTGTGGTCGTGCTCGTCGTCGTCCGCCTCGTCCGAGTCCAGCTCCTCCGAGTCGAGGTCCTCGTCGTTGAAGCGCAGGTTCAGCTCGGCGCGGCACTCCTTGCAGTTGCCCAGCCGGATCATCTCGTGCTCTTGGCAGCAGCAGTCGCACTCCTCCTCGTACTCGGCGCAGCACTCCTCCTTGATCAGGATAATGTAGTCGGCGGCGAAGAACTCGTTCATCTTTTCGTTGATCACCACGCGGTTCTTCGGGCCCTTGGCCCGCCGCTCGCCGGGCTTCTTCAGCAGGCTCTTGAGCGCCTTGGCCGGCTGGCTACCGCCGCCGCCGCCGCCGCCGCCGCCGACCTCCTCCCGCGGGCCCGACTTGGCCTCCTTGTGCTCCTTCATCCCGACGCGCACTCGCACTCGCGCCGCCAGCAGCCAACCCGAGACAACGAGCGAGCGCGCACTCTCGGCGAGCGCCTAGGTGACCGACGAGGACGGCATTGTCACTGGCTGCGGGGGACGAGTCGATCGAGGTGGCCGCTCGAGCCTGGCGAGCGCCTCATCGCTCGCTCGCGCGCGCTCCCTCCGCGCCGAGCTTGCAAGCTCCCTCGAGCGCTGCCTCGGCGTCTGGGATGTTTTCGCCCTCCCACGCTCTCTCCCTCGCGTGCACACACACACACACACGCACACCCGCGCACGCACACTCGTGGCTCGCCTATCGATCGCCCAGCGCACGCACCAGCCACCACCTGCCGCTGCCGGGGCGCGCGCGCGCTCGCTCCTCGTCGCGGCCCGTCGGGCCTGGTCCACCGCTCTCGCGCGGGGACGATGCGCGCGCGGGGCACAGAAGCGGAGCCTCGGCGCGTCTGCCGATAAGCCGTGAGCGGCGTTCGCGCACTCGCTGCGACGGGGAGCGCGTGCCGCTCGAGCGCTGCCTGCCAGCCGACTGACACTTGCGCTGCCAGCTAGCACGCACCTGCACGCCAGCGCCCCCCCCCCCCTCCCCCCTCGCCCCACCCGCGCCGCCGCCGCCGCCGCCGCTGGGAAAGCCTGGAGCGCCGCCACCGCCGCGGGAAATGTGGATTGTCAACGCGGCCGGCTGATTATCGACGTTTTTATCGCCGAGGGCCGCTTCCCTCTGATTCGATTAGCCGATAACGGCTTTGTCTGTTTTGCTTGCTCACGTCGCAGCTGCCGTTGGCGTTGCTGCTGGACCGAAGACGAACGCGATTTGCTCCTCGGCGCGGCTCATCCGTTGTCAGTGCGTCGACCGTTTTACCTGCGGCGGCTCGTTTGTCTATCTATCGGTCGAATGCTCGGCGAACGAATTGGTCGGTGCGCTCGACAACATCGTACTTCATCCACGGATCCGCCCCGAGTCTCGCATCGCCGGAACTTCGAGCTAGCGAGACCGCGCCTTTCTCTCCGAAAGTTGTGGGTATCATTGATGCAGCGTCTTCGAATTTTCACAATTCACGAAGAAGGCCTGCGTGTAAAATAGATGAGGTAACAACTGTATGCACGAGACTCCTGGGAAATGGTTGCTTTTCGTTTCTGCGAGAGCCACTCGCGAATCCCACTACCTTCAACTGATTTAAATAAAGTTTCGCAGTTTCTTCGGCGATCAATCATTAACGTTGCCGAGAAGTGGCTCCAGAGTTATCTTTGGCGCACAACGAGCGACGCGAAGTCACGTTCGTTTCTGTCGCACCGCAATTTTCCAAAGCTGACCGTAAGAAAAAGCCAGCTGGCCGATTCGACGACTTCAATTTCAACGCTTATTTTTGCGCGAGCGGACGCTTGCAACGTCGGAGCTTCGCAATCGGGAGAGGGCCGCGTTCGGAAAAGAAGCGGGAAGCCCACCGAGGATTCACCCAAGGATCATTCCCAGCGAGCGATTTCGGAAATTAAGCTACTCCCCGGCAGTCAGCGGCTGTTAACCTCGGAGCACACGGAGATCACTCGCGAAGGCGCTTTCGTACCGCCGAGGAGTGAAAGAGAGACGCGCAGAAAGTAGGTGTATCACGGAGTGAAAGCCGATTTTGAGGGAGCGCCGTCAAAGGCCGCCGTAAGTAATATCTCCTGCGTGCAGCTCGTCAATTAGCCTTGCCCATGGGTTCTCCAAATAGCGGTGCTCCTCAAAGCGTCGACGAAAACAAAAAAAAAAGCAAAAGACAGACGGTCTAGCCACGTCGATTCGAAGCCACGCGCGTCGTCGTAAAAGAGCGATAGTGGATGACGGAAAGCGGCTGCGACAGGTCTTAAAACCTACCACCTAGATTCTTCTTTTGAGATAATCGACAAACTAATCATGCCATTAGATAGTTCATCAAAAAATTAACATTTTTTTCTACCATTTGTTAATGCATCCTCGAAAAACCCTTAAAAAAAATAGTTTTAGGTGTTGGGCTTCAGCATCCAGATACGATGTGCGGTAACACATAGAAAAATTCAATAAATTCTTGAAAAAATAATTGACACGCTAATCGTAATGAGACTAACTAACGACACACAGGGTAAAATCGTTGATAAATTAATTATTTAAGAAAATAAAAATAAAACATTGTTTGCTCATGATTTGCTCCAAATAGTCCAAATGGAATCTTAAACTAATGATAGCGCACTGTCCAACATTCCAATTTTATTTAAATTCAATCTGCTAGTCCGAGTATCGATTAATTAATCAGACTGTTGTCTAATTAATATATTGTCATTCAGATCATTAACACGAGTGATGCAGTAATAATTTTATTTTCGTGAAATTTTCTAGATTTTACCTTGGAGCCCAGCACCCAAGACTAACAAATGGTAGAGAAAAAATATTATTGCTTTTTCGATGAACTATCTGACACAATTAGTTCATTGATTATCTCAAAAAAGCTAAGTCCGAGTGCTAGCTTTCAAGAGCTGGCCGCAACGATAAAACAACAATCGGCGCGACGACGTTGTATACCAGCGGCGCGCCCTGCCGGTCGAGGCTAACGCGCTGATATACACTTGCGCCTGTCCCTCGCTTTACTCGTCACCCCGACGCGTTCAATTGGGCAGAGTGCAGCCGGTTTAATGAGAAAGAGAGCGCCGCATTAATGAGTGGGAGACTCGCGCGCGCCGCGTGGGCGTTGTCATTGCGACTTACGAAAAACCTCTCTCTCCCATTTTTCGTTATCTGCAGCGAGCTTTTTCACGCGTGTTGTTATTTGTTGACGTTCTTGCTTTGGTGTGGTAGCTTGTTTGAAGCCTAAATTAGGCTGCGAAAAATCACGATGAAATTAATAATAGTAGCGATTGGACAAAGGTCAACCGATGTAACTTACGATCTAACTGTAGCTGCAAGTATGCGTAAATAATTACAATCGCCATTTGCACACTGGCATCATCAACGTATATTCAACTATTTGGGCAGTTGTTGCGAACGGTATCATCTATGCATCGGTGCAAAACTAACTGCAATGTGATAAAACGATGCGAATATTATTGCAACGAACGCCTTATAGCAGACATCGTCGTAATATCATTGCAACGTACTTTTATTCGATCGCTGCATTACAAGCAACACAGTGCGGCTTAATGAAGATTCAAGTGTGCACTCGGATCACTCGCACGTAAATTTTCAACGTAAAAGTAATTCTATCTTGCCGGCCATCCGACGCATCTGACTCGCGGTCGTCCCGAGCGATGGAGGTAGTGGTCGTTCCTCGCAAGAGCACCGATAAAGAAGGAGACAGGCCCGACGCACTTTTTGGCAAGTCGACGGCTGCGAGCACCTGTTACGTAAGCTGCCCTTATGTCCATGGTCGATTCGCGAAGACGCGTTACTTTCAAATGGAAGCCGTTGAGGTGACAGAGACGACAGTGCAGTTTTGACTTTGTGGCAAGGCCACCGCCATTAGAAGGACTTCGTTCGGATAATCTTCGCTGCTGCTCGATACGATTACGAACGCTGCATTGCGAGTTTGTCAGGGCAAGACCGTTACAAGAGCTTGAAGAGACGCATTGATTATTCGATAAAGAGATGCGGAAATTTCATGGGATTTATGTGATGTTCCATCGATTACTGTTGATGTACAAAAAAAATATTATGATAATGTTTATTGCTTTTGAATTTAACTTTCTTTATCGATGATCGATCTTGTGACTCGAAGCCGGATGAGATTCGCGGCAAATTGACCGACAGATTCTTTTTTGAATACTATAACGAGAGGAAAATCCAACAAAATCATTTATTTTTACAGAATAGCGAAGATTTACCTGAAAAAAGGGCGTAAAGCATCTGAATTGGTTAAAAACATTGTTTCAAACGTATAGCGTACTGATAGCGAATAATTTCGAAGTATATGGAGCATGTTGCGTCCGGCTGGAATGCATATTTGACAATTATCATCGAAGAAACACGAATTTATACTTTCAAAGACGACTCCAACTCTAAAAGAAAACAGATTGAAATACAAGTGCTCCGCTTACAATATCATTGTCATTGGTTTGAAGAAAGAAACGATCGAATGAGACAGCACTTGGTCCTATAGATCGTTACCGATGAATCGAGCGTTGCACAGAGCACTGGAATTACCGTCTTCGTAACGTATAGAACTCAAATAAAGATTAACGACCACAAGGTTGATTCGTCATCAAAGAAAATTCTGCTGGGGAGACGATCAATCAGTATCTTTTTCGTTCGTCGCTTCTCGCCGACCGCCAGCAAAAGATCTTATCGATCGAGAAACAGCGCGAATCCTGTCGTCGATGGCCAATAAGGCATATAATAGGTCGACACTGCGACAGACAGCTGCTTTACCAGCTACCGGGGCCCCTTTAGCTACCGTTTCGCGCCGAGAGATGGAGGCATCGGTTTCGCCACTGCGCGGACGGACGAGTGAGAACGAGATAGAGACAGCCAGGGGAGGCCGATGTACTTTTAATAAGTGGCGCAGACGCGCGCGAATTCGCGGGGCTTGCACTTGAAATAGCCCAACGGCGGCTTTGCCTCTCGTCAATTAATCACGGAGGCGCGCGCGACAGCGGAGAAGCGCCCGTAATGATTTTCCACTTTGCTGCGTGCAGGGCCACAATGCTATTTTCGCGTGCCGTAGTCTCTCGTTCTCTCTCTCCGGTCCCCCACCTTTTGCCGTTCTCGCGCGGAGAGTACATATCGATCGCTTTGCGCGACGAATTAGAGTTGCATTATTTCGAAAAGGCCAGGTTCGGCTGGGAAGGGTGGGAGGGGGGGATGCCGCGGTTGGGGTGGCTAGCGATCGTCGAGTTTCGGAGGACCGAATCGTCCGCGAAGAATCGTGGCGGGCGATGCTCGTATCGCGAAGCCTTCCCTCGCGCTGCGCTCGAGCGGCACAGCCGTGGGAGCCAGTGGAATGCGGAGAAGGCCGCTCGAGCGCGCGCGCCCCGTTGACAATGAGCGCGCTTGTCTCGGAGTGGACGCGTGGGACGAGACGGAGATAAAGTCGTCTCGCGAGATTTGGCGAATCGCACGCGAAATGCGCCGCGCCGCCGCGGACGCTGTTGCCCACTTCGGAGCTTCGTCGCTCTATTGGCGCCTCGACGTCTGCGCGCTGGCACGCTCAACGCTCGTAATGAGGACGCATTGTTGTCTTTTCTTTTTTCTCCTCTCGACGTCGTCGAGCTCCAAGTTTGGGCTGTTCCAATGAAAAACGTTACGTTTCGTAGCGCGTGCACGCGGTTTATTTCAGCGGCAATGACATCAGCTTTACGCATCCACGGCTACACAACAACATCAACAATAGCACTTACGGTAGCTTAGGCTAGTAGCGACAATCGCAAAACATCGTTCTACTGTACATGTAATCTCAGCTCGATGCTACATTGCTTTTCCAATGAAACATTCGACGTGCATAACGCCACTGGAATGTCAAACTGTCGTCCTGACAATGATTTGCAATTGAGCAACGTTAATTTCGGAATGTATAAGTCACCATTTTAGTAAGTTTTCTATGATTTACAAATGCGATATAACAATACACACATTCGGCTCCCCTTCGCAAAAAAGTAACAGAAGAAAGAAAGACACAACAATACAGGTTGCACAAGGAAAGAAAGAGGGAAGAAAAAGGAAAGAAAGAGGAAAATAACCTCTGTCTGTGTGCGCGCATACATATATAACAAGGCAGCAGTCGGCAGCAAGCGCCTCAGCAAATAACTTTGTAGGGATTGAGTATGCCGTTGGGATCCATGGTGCGTTTCATGAGACGCATCAGCTCGATTGCCGACTCGTCCTTGCTGTAGTGCAGAAACTTGGCCTTCTTGAATCCGATGCCGTGCTCGGCGCTCACGCTGCCGCGCAGCTTGGACGTGTACTCGAAGACGAAGGGCTCCAGCAGATCGTTCACTCGCGCGTCGTAGTCGCGGGTGCCGACTTGCACGTGCACGTTGCCGTCGCCTGAAACCGAAAACAGAGTCACGCCCGGCTCACCACGGCCCGCAGACGTCCGTTGCCTCGCGGTCGAAGCGACACGCGGAAGATCGGACGCGGGCGCGCAGATTGGCAGCCGAATCGAGCCGCGAGCAGAGCAAAAACAACGCGCGGACAGCTCGGAGATTCCGGCGCGCGCGTCCGTGTGTGCGAGGCTTCCCCCCGCGCCAAATGAGCTTATGGCCTTTCCCGCAAAGTTGGAGCCCAAACTGAATTATGTCTTCGCGCGCGACCCCCTTCGCTCGGCGCTCGGCGCTCGGCGCTCGGCCGAACTTCCCCGTTGCGCTCGATTTTCGGAAATCAGCCCGTCGTGCGACGCCATGAAAAATTCACGCGCGGAGGAAAAAGGGAGAGAAGCGAAAATGAGAAACAGCCTCGACGCGCCACCAGCGAGGTCTCGTTTTGCCGGCGGTCGCGCGCGCATAAATAATCGCTCGGGCGACTCGCGTTCCACGCGAGCGAAAGCTCGACGGGCGCGGATGGAAGAAAGCGACGACCAACGGTAAATCGATTTGCCGAAATGCAGGCTGGCCGAGAGCGAGCGACAACTTACCCAAATGGCCGAAGCCGTTGACGAAGCGCACGTCCCCGCAGTCTCGGAGTCGTTCGCGTAACACCGGGACTATCGAGTAGAAGTGCGCCATGGGCAGCGAGACGTCATACTTAAACAGATAGCCTTCCTTCGTCAGGGCCTCGGTTAATCTCTCCCTCAGCTCCCAGATGTTCTGCACGTGAACAATTTTTCAGAGGGAACGCAGATCGCGCGCGGGCACGCGTGGTGCGTTCGGAAAGCAGTTATTCTTCCTTCGAGAAGAACCTTCGCGTTTATGGCTGTTCGCAACATAGACTCTCCGCCTCGTTTGCATTTAGATAACTTTTGTCTCTATTGCTCTTTTTTGTTTTTTCTTTTCCCCGCGAACAAAACTTTGTATAACTCGTCGTCCACGGGGTTGGGTGCTGTTTTTATTTTCAAGTTCGATTGGATTTCACAGCGCGAACAAGACGGTCGTGCACGTATGGACTGCGTAAATCTCAAAGAAGCCTCTCGCGATCCTTTCGAACGGATCAACGCTTTCATCTTAGGATAGGTCGCGCCAGTAAACCGAAAGTAAGCCAACTCGATAGCTCGGACTTGAGCCCGAAAATGGAAAAAGCTAGGGCACGCGAGACTCACCCTGATCTTGCTCGGCTCCGAGGTAACAGTGCCATCGTCAGCAATACCATCGGCCATGACCTTCTCCAAAAAGGCGGTAAGTTTCTCCTCGTCGTGCGACAGTTGGCTACCGGCTGTCTCGATCAGGACGTAGAACTCGTGCTCGGACGACAAAGGACTTCTCAAGCCCAGCGCGTCCCTCGCACTCTCCACTGACGCGCGGTCAATCATCTCGCACGACGACAGTATCTCCGCCACATCTCTCTTCGCTGTGCTGTACGCTTGCAGCACTTTGTCGAAGCTTTTCATGCCTTGCCAAATGAAAATCGAACGATTATTATTGAGGACGCTGTACGTTGCGTTCGTTAGCGTATTTGCCGTGAAAGAAGTGATGAAAATGCCGAAAGTTCACGAGACATCTACATCCAGATAATAATTAACCTTAAAAAAGTATCGCGAACTCCCCCCCCCCCTATCCCGCAAATCATGAATAATGATTGCGAATTTCTGAGAAAAACAAGAAAAAATTAAAATTTACAGCTGAATCAGATAGACACATCATTCGTAAATCTTTATAAAAGCTTACATATATCCTCGCCATACAATGTTACACTAAAAGCGGAACACAATAAAAGTCATCCTTTTCGGAGAGAGAACGAGAGAGAACGAGAGAGAGAGGCGCGGCCTGCCGGGAGATATAATATAATGATGGGTGCACCTGAACTAATGCTCACCCAGAAAGGCGAGGTTTATGGCCTTGGGCATCGTGGGACACTGAATAGCCACCTTCGTAACGACCCCGAGAGTCCCCTCCGAGCCGATGAACAAGTGTTTCAGATCGTAACCCGTGTTGTCCTTCTTCAGCGTGTTCATGCAGTCCACCACCTTGCCGTTCGCTAGCACCTGCAATCACGATCACCCTGTCACGTATCTCACGCGACTTTTGTCCCGATCGCGTTCGGAATGCGACTTAGCGCGTGTTAAGCGTTGTGCGTTGGGTCGGAACGATCGCGAAACCAATTACCGACGCTGTCGTTCGGAACAAAGCAAGGTGATTTTGCTTAGGAGCAGGTGCTCTTTTCGCGTTCGCGCAGGCAGGCCAAGAGTAACAGAATTCACGTGACCGATGGCAAATTATTATCGTCGTGATCTTAAAGGTGCTCTTACGGCTTCCAGTCCCAAAATGTTTCCGTGTAGGTTACCGTAGCGCAATAGCCGCAGGCCACCGGCGTTGGTGGAGACGTTACCGCCGATCAAACAGCTGCCCTTAGCTCCAAGGTCAATCGGCATCATCATGCCGTGGCGGTTCAGATGCTCGTCGAGGGTCTGCAAGACGCAACCTGCCTCGCACACCAGCGTGCCTGCACAAAGAACAGATATTTCTTTACCGTTAGCGAGAGATCTGCTGTGATTCGTACTGATAAGTGAATGTTGGTCGCGCGTCTTGATCGCGATCGTCTGAATAAAAAATCAAAGTTCCAATTTACGAATTTGCCCAGTGTACGAGATAAATCAAGAAAATTGATCTAAAAAAAATAAATGGATAGTTGCCACTGACCCAACGCCAATGACGAATATACGGAACCCTTGCAACGCCTGCTGTATCCCACTAGCGCAACACGTTTGAGTAGGCTAGACATCTGGCTTTTGGCAGACGGGGTGACATAGAATTCGGTTTAACCAAGATCCCTTGGATCTGTCGCTGCAAGCATTCGACTGCTCAGCCGGTCGCGCGAATACGACGAGACCCACGGAAAGGCCCTTTAGTGATCCGCTCGGTACTAAAAGCTACGAGGCGCGGCATTTGAAAATCAATATTTGCTCGCAGTAGCGCAGGACCCAGGGAGCTGCGGAGTCTGAAAACTGAATTATTATTTCTAACGACTCCAAGCTGCTATTTTTGTGTCAAGTGTCAGTTAGGTGTCGCTTCTGAATACTAATCGCAGCTCGGCTGAAGAAATGTATAAATCCGGATATTAAAAAGCTGCGCTTTACAACTGATGATCGATTTTGTTTTATTTAACAAAAACAAAAAGGTCACTGCTTCGCTTCTACACACGGATAAAAATACCTCGTAGTCAAATCCTGATTTGCCTTCGAAAGACGGTTAGGCAATAGGGTATGCAATCATAATGATGTATAAACGCGTGACTAGTATGCGATTAGCGGAAAGGGGTGAAACTTTCGACAAACTCAATAATAACTTTGAATCACCCGAATACAATTTTAAAATATCGATTTTCAGTCACTTAAGAAAACGAGGATACATTTATTTTTAATTTAGGACAATGTTGATGTCTTATGGAATGAAGCAATTTTCTGCTATCTGGAGCATTTATTAATTAGGGTCTGACGATACTAAAAATATTCAAAGTTGACAGCGCGCGTCCATGAGTCTATGCCAGACGAACGAGATGACAACGATACCCTAACGATTACGGGCAAAGTCGCACGCTCGTGCAACGAAAACCAAAAGAGCTCTTTTTCCAAAGTAGCAGCAGCAGCAGCGATCCCTCGCGGCCCCTTTCTCGCCTCTTTCTCTCTCGGTTCGGTCGAGTGTGGTCAGGAGAAAAAGGAAGAAACGAAAGCGAGAGCCGGTAGCGCCAGCGGATTACGGTACTGTTGCTCTCCCCCTTCCCCTTTCTTTCTCTCCGGATCTAGATTAGCGTCGTTATTAGGAGAGCCAAAGCGAGACTCTCTCATTAGTGGTAGACACGCGAGAAAAGCGCAGTTTATCGCGCCCACGCCGCGAAACACGACTGCGTCGCTGCTGGCCGCTTCTACACGCTCGTGATTTCGTTGCCGTGCAAGGACTTCTTGTTTCTTTTTTCTTTCTTTTTTTTTTCACATTTTTTAATGAGCGAGTTTTCGAGATTCTTGGAATCGTTACGCTGTCTCCGTCGAGATAGCGATTCTATGTTGGCATTGCCTGCTCTACTCTCGTATTTTCTTTGTTGAAATATTGTTTATTTAAGACAGAGATTAGCGGAAGAGAGATTAATTAAATCTTTGTAATTTCATTGGATCCGGCAAAAATATGATTGTTCAAGCTGCGCCAATCGATAAGCAGAAAAAAAAAGAAAATAACTATTCATTCGGCGAATTTAAGATCTCGTGAAAAAACCATTGTACCAAAAATCTTTTCACCACATTACACTTTACTATTTTCGAAAGTGCAAAGCGCAACAATGCAATTTATGCAAATCATTTTATTTAAAAGCTTGAATAAACAAGCGTGAAGCCTATAACAACAAAAAGTCACAATAGACCAAGAAAACCGCGGCGGCCTTGACTCTGACCCGATCCCTTCTTCGTTTTTTTTTTTCTTTTTTATGGATTGAGGCATTTTCGGCCGCGCAACTGGCCACCTACTGATGTCCACGTGTTCAGGTAGACAGGGACCGACTGACACTCGACCCTTTTTTTTTCTTTCCCTTTCTCTCTCATTGTTGTCTCTCGACTTCAAAGGACGACGTGCTGTACTCCAGACTGGTACTGCTATTAACTTTTCAAAGCCGCATATCCTTTTTATGAAGAGATTTCATGTTGACCTTCCATCAACGTTATAACTCGGAGAGAAAGAGAGAGAAAGACTTTCAATCTTTGTTAAGCAGATGTGTGCCAAAGACTACAGTGTTTTTAACTTCCTTCGACGCTGGGATTTTTCTTCGATTGAATCAATATTTTATCATCTGACTTGAAAGTGTTTTTCAATCTACGTTCAATCTTTAGAAAAGTTTACAACAATTTTTCAAATATAATATGTTACAATAACTTCAATAATTTATATATCTATAACACAATTAGTAGAATTAATAATAATCAAATAATCGTTGTACTTATATTAGTATCATTATGAAAGCTGTAACATATTTATTTAGTCGTGTATTTTTGTCGCGACGCGCATCGTCGGATTTGTCAATTAAAACTCATACGATAATATGAAATTTAAAAGATTTTGTTGAAATTGAGATTTGTCAGCTTATATAAACAATTTTTATCATCTTGCATGGTTATTAGTATTGGAAAAAAATGTTGTTCGTAAATCGAATGACTTATTGCATTGAGAAATAAAATCCCGCATCGTTTACAGCTATTGCAATTATTGAAATATCTCGACATTTATACAGTACACGAAAATTAGTCACAAGGGTTAAAAAGTGCTCGATAAAATCGTTTTTTCACACTCGACGGATGATGCAAGTCATCCTACTTTCACTCCGTGCATAAAGCGCATTAACAGGCACAAACAGGAACATAAAATGAAGTCCACTTGCCGTATTAACAATCAAGCAACGCCATGAAAACCGCGAGCACTTATATGACGTACTTCATCGTGCATGATCACGGCTGCATCTAAGTTGCTCACCAGCTAACTGATCAGTGTCGATGATCTGATTCATGAGCCGCATCGAGACGACGACCTCATCGAATACAGGCACACTTCCACCGACCAATCCAGTATTACCGCTCTGTGGGCAAACGGCAAGTTTCTCCTGGTCGCAGTAACGTAGAATCTCGGAGACCTCCTCGGTGCTCTTTGGTTTCAACACTGCCCGGCTCGAGCCTAGAAAAAACACACATAGCCGTAGCCGTAAATCAGACGTGCGTCTTAATTTATCTCCTCTCTCTCTCTCTCTCTCTCTCGCCGTATGGGGTGCGACACACTTGCCCATTGGGCCGAAGATCGGCTTTCTGATATTTTCGGTCTAGTTTTTGAGGGGGATTCGGCCTCCATGGGCCAATGATTTGCATGCCTTTGCGCCGAATGAACTTGTGCTTGTGTTATTTATGGGGTCTCGAGAGAGGCAGTTTCGTTGGCCCGATTCTTTGAAGTGACGTTGTAAATATTAGAATGGCTCGAGCAAAGGATTGCTTTTTATCGAGCTTACAGGTGAAAAATGATTCGTTGCAGGAGCGGGAGAGAAAAAAAATGGCGTTCATTACAATGGACTATGAAGGCGATTTAGCGAGATCGTTAATAATCGGAGAATTCGTTATTCCCGCTCGGCAACTTTAATTCATGACACGTATAATATATGAGTGTGTTTAGAGATAGTCATTTGCGTGCAACGCTTTTTAACGATGTATCAGCTGGTGATGATTGTTAAAAGTGAGTTTTATTACATACGTCCAATATCCATAAATTTGTTGGAAGTCAATATTTCATTTTCGAGGATGTCAACGGCGATATTTCAATTGTATTTCGCGGAAATAGCCTTGGAAGAGGGTAAAACGTCATATTACATTTTTATTTTAATAATGCTTGGTTGAAATGATCCCACTAGCTCGCAGTCTTGCGAAAATTTCAAGTTTATCCGCTGGACTTGTTTCTCCCTGACTTCTGAAATCCGTAGAGTTTGACTTGGCTCCCGTACGAAATAGGCTCACCTTTGACAATCCTCAACCAATCGATATTGTAAGTGTCGCACTCGTCAGGCTCGGTGATGACCCTCTCGTTGCCTAGCAGTTGCTGGAAGAAGGCGGCGTGTTGATCATTGATGAGGGCGTAAGGCCCTCGCTTGACCTTGTATCTGACGGCCGTGAGTTCGGGCTGCGTGCGTGTAGCAGCGACAGCAGCGCCTGAGGCCAGTTGGCGCCGGCTGCCGTTTAACAACGCGCCAAAGGTCCGCCTCATCTCTTTCTCTCGAAGCCGCCGGCGAGCTGTGTGAGCGCGCGCGTGTGTGTGTGTGTGCGCGTGCGCGTGCGTTCAACTACTGCTACCGCACAAAATTGATTGTATCTGCAACAGGTAAAGGTTAATGTTTAGTAACATGGATTCTCTCTTTACGAGCAACACAGCTATTTGTGCAATGCTCTGCACGTTATGTTTGCGGTTTTCCTCAATAGCACGGTTTTAATTTCGATGTAACTTAAAGTTGAGCCACCTTATCGACTATTCTACGAAAATCGATAGTCGTGCTTTTACAAGTTTGCTTCGCGTGTAATAAATTTAATTCTATCTAAACAGGTATAATTTCGGCAGAAAGAATACATTCTGACGGTGATACTTTAGCTTGCATTTGTATGCGATCATCAAGTAGAAAATTGACATTCAAAAGTCTCGCAGAAGACTACTACCGGAAAATTCCTTCTCGACACATATTTGCACAGTAATAGCGCTCGCCCGAAATATTCTTATTCTCCAAAATCTACAATTGTAAGTACTGCATAACAAGAAAGCTCGTATACAGGATTCTCGAGCTGTTTCATAAATAGAAAAAGACTTACAAGTAAATTCCGTCCCAATTAATCCTTCGCAAACATTCAACAAAAGCATCTTTTGAAGATCAGCCTGAAAAACAATTTCATTGTCCGCGCAGGCAACAAAGCGTGGGGGCGGATGCAGCCAGTCGAAAAAAAAAAAAAAAGAAAAAAAGGATCTCATTCACGCGAAACGTGTGACACTTCTCGCGCGCTTTCTCAGGTAATAAGAAGCGGGAAGGGGTGTAAATTGCCCAAAGAAGGAGAAAGGGAAGAAAAACTCGAACCTCCCCACCTCGCTCGACAACTGACTCCACCCCATTGAAAGAGTTTATCGCGTTATGTGTATGTATATATAGTGTAACCCCCTTCTTAGTCCGCATCATATACACACGCATACGTGTACGTGTATGTCGTCACGGCCATTGTTAATTAATGAAGGGGTGACTCAACCTCGGTTGGGGATGGGTAGGGTGGTTACTTTATTTTAATGAGGGGATTGCCGCGCGGTGATGGGTGGATTGACTTTACTGACGGTAATACGTTTCAACTTCGGTAAACATGTCATTTTCGGTTTGTAAATTTCAAATTTTCGTTTTATCGCAAAAAAAGAAGATATGTTCGTTTTTTCCTGAATGAAGTACAGTTTTTCAATAACTTTTGAATAAAATGTTCCAATTTTCTAAATTACTTTTTTTAAAATATGAAAAGCGTTGGCTTACCAAATTAAAAAAATTATTATTGTGATAACGATGCGAGAATCTTACATATGAAAGTTAAAAGATTCTATAGGAATAATTTAGTTGCAACAGCTAACGCAATTTATCGATTCCGTACAAGTACATATAAGATAGGCATAGTTCCCTAATAGCTTACACCACGGAACTTACAGCTATCACACGAGTAACCTGTTGAACTAAGTTATAAGCGCTGCGCGTCGGGTGAAGTAGGGTAAAAGTTTCATTAGCGATAAACTATTCATAATTTCTCGATGCACATTTAGTGTTTCTTATGATAAATGGACCAATGCATTGTTGCCATGCTTACGATGTATTTCAACGAAGGAAAGTTAAGTTAAAATATTTTTCATATTTTACCATGAAAAGAAATTATTTATTAAGTGGCTTCGCTCGTTAAGATTGCCAGGCGGGTAAACAAGCTCACATAAATTATCAAAAACAAATATTAAAAAGAAATTTTACAATGCCGAAAGCTGCTCGGCAACTTCTTACATTCTTTCTTTCAACGATGAAAATTCTCCAAATTCTCAACGACAAAAAGTAAAAAGAAAGTTCGCATCGCATCAAAAGCGCACTCAAAGCGACGGACGATCAATCACGTCCCAAAGAGCAAAGGCATCGCATGTAGATCTCTTGTTTCTCTCTCTCTCTCTTTTCACGGTTCCCCCTATTTTTCGAATATAATTCTTCTCCCTTCCCTCGCCCGACTGCTGCGCTTCCCGCACACTTGCACACGCAGGCACATGTAAATTTCGCGCGCGCGTTATACGTTGAAAGGAAGGGATGGCTCGATCGAAAATGCCGGCGGCCGATTCAGCCATCAGGGCCATGTTTGGGTGGGCACTTGCTGCCACCGCAAATTATCGCCGTTTATATATGTGTATATGGCTTCTCGAACGGTATAGTGAAAGGTTTGACTTGTCACGGTATTGGATGTGCGCTGGTGGGGAGGTAAAAGTTGCGAGTGGTGTGAACAAATCCGGAGCCAGTTTTGGACCACTTAAAGAATAAAAGGGCTTTCGCTTATATTTCGTAATTTTTAAAGAAAGACGCTGATTATTCGTCACTTTTTCTCAATTTTCTTGTCAAAATACCATACCCACTTTTACCCAGAATTCCTCCTTTACTTGTAAAATAACTTGATTCTAGTTACAATAAAAACTAATAAAAAAAACAGCAATAATTTTCAATCGACTGTCAAAATGATGTTAGGTACATGAGATATTTTCTCAAAATATTATTAATCGACTGACAAAGTACACTAATTATAGCAAATTACGAGTCATCATATAATCAACATTAAATCCAATTTATTATCTTCATTAATGTCACTAACATTTGTTTCAACACCACACTTATAGCTCGTTCATTATTGATATATCGTGACAATTATTAACTGATGTATTATAAATTATATTGAAAAAGTGTTACAGCTACAAAATTTTTCGCAATTTGCATAGTTTGACATTGGAAACTTCACGAGTAATTCAATACGCAATATCAGTTTACACCCTTCAAAGAAGCCAGTGAAATGTAAAAAATCCAGTCGTCTTCAAGTATCCAGCCATGTATTCTTATAATGTATTTATTATATTTGCACGACAATCAATTCATGATGATTTTGTTAAATTCTACATCTTATGCAGACAAATATGTTGTAATCGTGATACGTTTATAATCAGTAACCTATTAAGTTTACAAACCTGAGGTCAAAAAACGTGATTATACAGAGGTTTCCATTTGAAAAACTAGATAATTTCATAATGCTGTCTAAACTTTCAAAAGCAAATACTTGCCTAAACAAAGAGCAGAATTCTGCATCTTGTTCGGAGTCATCGAGCGTCATTTTGTACATGGATTCGATTTTCCGCTGAAGTTCCATATAAATAGCATCATGAGAAAGAATCTGTCAGGGACGATACAAATACTTAGAATGTCAATCAATATACGAAATAAACGAATTGCTATTTAAAGGCGAACTGCAAAGGTCCTGCTAAAGCCGATACCAACAAATTTAGGCGAACCAGTTTCAAAGTTAGCCGATCAAGATAGCATATTTATTATATTGCGATTATCGATCTTTCGATTGCACCGCAACTGCCATTGTAGCCATGCCTGTAAACCACTTTTTGCTCTTCCAATAAGAAAAAAAGTTGTCACAGCTCTTTAAAGCAAACAAGCTCTCGATATAACCGACGCGGCAATCGTGTTCACGCGGATAGCCATCGATAGCTACAAAAAGAAACAAGCTTATGTCCCATTAAGTACATCGGCTAAAGCGGACGAGAAGTACAAACGGGGAAGCTTTAACAAAACGAGAGCGAGAAAAAATTCCAGTCTAAAAGCGAGCGAGCAAGAGAGAAAAGAGAGAGAGAGAGAGATATCCGCATTCCACATTCCTCGCGAAATCTGCGGGACTCTCGATTAGTCTGCGCCGCCTCTGAAGACGCTATTTGAAAAGAGACCGTCTCGGAGTGTGTGGCGGGATAGAAGGAAAAAAACAAAACAATATTAAAGCTTTTATTGTGCCTTAATTGAATGAACGCGCGGCAAAAGGTGAATTAGGTGTTAAAATAGGGGCTTTGTACGAACGAGATGAACAATGCGCGACGTAGCTATACGTATATGTATCACGTGATGTGACGATTCCCATTTTTTTTACGAAAATGCGCTTTCACTAGACTAATAACATAGGTTTTGTGCAGCGTCTTCATTGTTTTTTTATAATCTTCGTTTACTGTGGAATGAACGCGCTAAGAAATGGTAACGCCTATGAAAAAAATAGACACAAGGTTATAAATTATGGTTAAAATTTTACAATGTTCATTGAATGAGTTTACACCGTTCATATAGCATTATATCGAATGAATTGGACTGAAAAGTATACTAGCGTTCTTTCAAATTATAAGAAACAAAAATTCATTACACAGCTTTCATCACTACGTTGAACTTCATGTATGCATTTATTATTAGCATTAATATTAATGTTATGACCAAGGATTTACTCAGTTCTCAGTTTTCTTAAATTTTTGATAATTTTGAAAAGCCGTCTTCAAGTTAATTCTCGCAATTGTATTGAGATTTTTACAATGTTTGCAAAAATAGTTTTTACAAAGACTTGAAATACATTACCTACAGAATAGAATGAGTTTTGAACAAAAAGTATTTTGTTTTAATTAATGAATTCATAACCTAAAAGGAGACCGACATGTAACTATAATGAGTAAAATTCTCCATGAATCAAAGTTTTTTCCGTGAAAACGTTTTTGAGATGACGAGATCTTATTACCAATAAATTAAAAAATTGATTTCCCTTGAAATCTAAATAACTATTGAAAAATTAGGTCTCTACATTAGCAGGTTACCAATAGAATGTGACAATTCCTTCAGTATCAAAAATATTAAGTTCAGCAGTTTTACATCCTACTTCAAAATTTGTAAATAATATCTCTAGCAAATTGGTTTATCATTTAATGGAATTGAATTTGAATGTATAAATTTGGAATAATTCAATATTTTTTTAAGAATTTACTTTCAATAATTTTATCTGAGCTTTTTATTGGTATTACAATTGCAATAGATCTATTTTTCTAAACTTTATAGATTAAAAGTAGAACTTGATTTTTCAATATATTAATATAAAGTCTCGTGAGTTTAAGAAAAAAAGTGAAAATTCTAAGCAATAAAACCCTGAAATCAGCATTTTTTAACGTTTATCCCATATGTTTGCTTGTCTTCTTATTAGAAATACGCCAATCAAATTTTCTAAAGAAACTTTATTAATCAATATTGCTTATAA